GTGTGTGTGTGTGTGTGTGTGTGTGCGTGTGTATTATTGTAGTGTTTTTACTTTGGGGTGACTGTTATTGTGATTTGGTGCTATTTAAATGAAAGTGAATCAAATCGAATTTAATTGAAATTGCTCTATATTTCACATATTGTGGAAGTTCAAGCACCAGAATTTGTGCAAGTCCATCGCTAAAAACAGTAATGCATTACACAATGACTGTATAAAATTATCAAAATACTTTATTAATCCATGATAACAAAGTAATGTGGTCACAGCTGGTCCCAGACAGTAATAACTGTAACTGACTAAATTTAATTAAATATTACTAAGTTACAAAATCTAATAAAATACTTCTAATATACGTAAATAGGTTAATTATAAATATCCCAGTATATAGCACAAATTATATATATGGTTGATATTGAGATGCCCCTATTTTCAAACTATAAAACTTTCTTTTCTCTGTAGAGCATGTGTATAAGGGTACACAACTATAGAAGTATGTATTTGTGCATTAGATAAAGATGACCAATGACTGATTTTACAGTCAATGGTCTCATCGCTAATTAGCCAATCTCAGTGTGACCTGGAAGTGTGCGTGGTGAAGCGGGCGGTGCCGTCTTTCTACATCCGGTATGCTCGAACCTCTCACGAGCAGCGAAGGCAGACGAAGAATGGAGAGAGCCGCTCGGCTGTTCTAGCTTGAGACAACAGCAACAACGGGCAGCACAGAAAACCTCCCCATCACAGGCGGCGTTTTTTGTTGCGAAAAACGACAAGCTGTGCCCCGACTGTCTGGATTTCCCACAGCGAAGGTGAGCCTGAGGTGTTTGCTAGCCAAGCAGCATTTAGTTGCAGGCTTTTGGTTCTTGGCTAATGTTTTCGCTGCTAACGGAGCTAATTTCCTTGTTGCACTCGGTCCAGCTGTCACCTAGCCATCAGTAGGTGCTAGTTAAGGCGTTGACACCAGGCAGAGAGAGGGGCTGCTACATTTGCTGCCCTTTAAAACTACTCTGTTTTCATAATTAACATGAAAATGTCCATCCTGTGATTTTTCTCACACTATATTTTGAGCCAGTCCAACCATTGTGGCTAAGTAATGTTTGCTAACGTTAGCTTTATGGCTGGTCAGTCTGGTTTGACGGTGGCGTGAAGGTAATTTTATTAAGCTGATGGTTCGTTTACCTACTGCTCGACGTGACCGACACTAATGATACGGCTGGCTTTGAAACGCTGACGTGCAGCTGCCACCTCTCTTCCTTGTTTTGATTTAACCTTAGGCCTGCTGGTAAAGGATCGATCAGCCTCAGCTGCCTCTAACCAGCACTTCCTCACATAGAAAACCTAGTGCCTTGACTGCTTACTACAACGTGAGGGATGCTCACAATAGGAAAGGTTGAACCCAGGGCCCCTGTCAGCCTGCTCGTCGTCGGCACAGTTGTAAATGTTGGACTGGATCTGGTCTGGTCGTCCCAGATGCGCACGCTCGGGATTAAAGTCAGTTTAAATTTTACTTCTGTGTGTACCTCCAGTGTACATTTTCTTTGCTACTAGTCATATTTTAATACACGTGGACCGTCTTAAAGTAAAGTGTCTTGCTACTGAATCAATATGGGATGACTTGTGATATCCCACAAGTATTTTGCAATAAAATAACGGCGTGTCATGCTCCGTAAAGCAGCTCTGAAGGTCACATTTTATTGATATATTAGTAGTTGAACAATTGTCTAGTATAAGTCATCGTGAGAACATGATAACTGATGTGAAATAGTTTGTGTAGAGCTCAAGCTCACTGTTTGCACATCTTAGGAAGGTCCACGTTTAGGCAAAGTGCAAATAGATTAGGGTTTTTTTAAAAACTTGTTTTCGCATCTGGAACATGTTTGTTCAAACTGGTGAATTTACAATTGCATGATACACTCTTGATGATCTTGCAGTATTTGCACAATCATTAGTTCAAACCTAAGGAAAAAATATCACATTGCCATGCTTACAATTTATTTTTATGTGTTTATTTATTGTTGTTATTACTGTGTGAATTCTCAGAGGAGGAAGAGCATGGACTATAAAAATTCAATTCAGTTCTAGTTCATTAGAGCTGCTGCCTTTAAGGAGAGAGGCACCAGCCTTTAGCTGGCACGGCCACAGTAGGAGTCTGCACTGTTGGCAGGCCCCCCTCTCAAGCTGATCTTTCTACTGAAGGTTAATTACTGCACTGAGAGCCTTTATGTTTCCATAAAAAATGGTTTAAAAAAAAGTCAACAGATTAGTAATTTTTAATAGATGCTAATCAGCTTGAAGCATCTTTCGGTTTCTCGTAGTATTTTGACAGGCACATTTGTGCACTGTAATCAAGGTTTTTCAAATATATTTTCAGTGCCTCCTGACTGTGATACTGAAGGAAAAGTACTCTTGAATAGTTCTGAGTGTTAAAGCTGCCTATTAACCAATTGCATGAAGTTTCCTAAGCTTTTGATTGCCAGTAAATGGTAATCCAATAAAATCTTGTGCTTCTGATTTGACTGCAGACAAATTAGTTTTTGATTCTCTCCACATTTCTATATTTCAGCGGCTTTGAAAACATGCCGTCATAATAGATTACTTGGATATTTCTGCAAATGCCACATTCCTCCTTCATCATTTCTGGATTAGAACTAGAAAATAAAATGCCTCGATGCACATTTTCAGCTGAGAGAATATCAGTGATGTGACAGATATGTGAGATCAGCAACAGCAACTCAACTCTGAAAGCATCTCCAGTAATATGACACATTTCCTCTTCATGCACAGTGAGCGTCATTCAGAGTTGTAAAGATTTAGGATATCCCCATTGTGGAGACAGTCTGCCCTACCTGAACAGAGTAGCATTTAAGTATTCAAAATATGCAAAGGTTTAAGTGCATTAAATGGATCGTTTGTAAGTCTCGCATCCTGAGATTTAGTTTAGTGGTTACAAAGTGACTGCAGTTATTTATTTTCAGCTAAAAAGGAAGTGGCAAATCTAATTTGTACATTGGTGTTTAAGAATCCAAAATATTTATGAGGTTTTTTAAATTTTCTTATTGAACCCAATAATTAGAGCAGAATAATTACAATATTGACAGCTTTAATGCAGTCTAATGAAATGCCATTGTGCAAATGAGCACATCATAAAACATAGGCTGTACCATGACAAAGTCAATACCCTCATAAGGAGGGAGGCTGCATTTACTGCTAATCTGTTCTAGTGCAGGATAAAACTAAATATAGCATCTGCTGGAGTTTGGCCATCTGGTCAAAAAATAGTACTGATTGATGATCAATCAAAATCATAATTTTCTCAATATATGTAGTTGAACTCATATCATATGATTAGCATCAAGTGTCCTCTCAGATGTTCAGACTACATCTTGAGCTTCTTTTGACATGTTACATTAGACCTTTCGCCACTATTCTGTTTACGAAAGAAGTTGTACATTAGGTCCAGAGGGACATTGAGTCCACTGTTAATGTGTTTCTCCAAGCTTATCAAGTCAGTCAGTCAGGGTGTTGGGATGATCCATGTACCCAAGCAGCAAGACGGGCCACTACATGACTGTTTCAGCTGTGTGGTGTCAGGTATAACTCTCTATCCATTGTGGTAGTAAATATTTAGCATAGTGTGCTGTTTTTCCTTTTCTTGGCTTACTCTCGCCATAATGTGAATTAGTGTGACATTGCCTCAGTGCGTCATGCTATCTACAGAGATGTTGCAAGTGTATGGGTTTATGTTTTTATTAAGGATTTTACTTATGATTATAGACATGTGAATGCCCCATCTCAATAACTATGGAAATTAAGGCTCATTTCATTAGGTAGGTGGTTCAAAGTAACCACCTGATTTGTTTCAAGATGGGTGCTGAGTTCCTAAATTTGCTTAATGATTTAAATAAAAAAAA